AGCACTACCAGCACCTCAGCCTAGTGTCATGGGAGGCAGCAAGTCACCAAAACACATGACCTGCCAAAAAGGCAAAGTGTGTGGGACTGTCAGATCCAGCTGCAAACTGGACAGCTGGACACCAGAGTGCAGCTCTGGTACAAGCAACCATCTGGTGGGGTTTTGCAGGCAAAGAGTGCAGTGATGTTTGAGCTCTGCCTCTAAAGCCTTGAACTACAACTCTTCCTCCATAGTAAAGATTGGAAAAAAACAAACCAAATCCAAACCTGGGCAGTGCTCCCCTTAACTACCACAGAATTTCAAAACAGCATGTGGCAGGGCCAGGACGAAAGGGCTGTATGGCGTTTTCCTTTCTTAAAGATTTCTTTTCATAGAATTGCTTTCCCCCAGTGTTTAAATATCAGTAATGTTAACAACCATTACATTCCTTAAATAATTTTTTGAACTGCCCATGAAAATTGTTTTGCAGTCTGCCTAGAAAAACGTTTTACCTCAAAAGGTAGCAGACTCAGTTTATAAGCAGAAAAAAAAAAACAAACTTTTTTTCCCAGCTCCTGCAGAATATAAGAGTTAACGCAATGGAAAAGAGACTGATGCTTTATTGATCAAAACAATTCTAATTATGCATAGAAGACTTTTCCATGTTTCCAGTAATACACTGAGCAAAATCTACTTCATGAAATGCAGTCAGATAAGCAGAAAGTTTGGGAGCTCATTGTTCAGCAACAAAGGTCAGAATTTTATATATCCAATCACCAGAGGCAGTGGAATGTTATAATTTCAAGCATATTTTAGCACTTGAAATAATAAATAAAACTAGAGAAATGTATTATTTATGTAAATTTAAAATTTTTCTAAAAGAGGCCCATAAAAAGCTGTGGACAGAGAAACACAATATAACAACCAAACCACAGAACCACTAAAATAATTGAGCAACAAAGAGCTGTTTGTTCATTTTTTCCCTTGCAAATCTCTCTCTTCACCCATCTCTACTATCTGTGGTGCAAGGCAATAATGTCACCAATATCTTATGGCATGTCCTTTTTACCATCATGTGCAAATACAGCATTAAAGATGTGTTGGACGAATCTACACAAGGAAAACCTGGTGTTGGGAAGGTCAACTCTTCCCCAGTCCAACCCCTCCTATGGTTTCTCAATTGCTGGAAGTGTTTCACCTCTCCTGAAACCAAATCAGGCATGGACTAGGACGGGCAGATCTCACTCTTTGATGCTGCACCTCACTACACTAATTTAGTGCTCCTGGGTTCTACCTCCAAGAACAAGAACTGTGATGGTGCTGCCTTCTTCAAAACACCATCACCCACCAAAGACAACAGACAAAGCTTGAGGGAGCAACATATTGAGAATTACTTCCCATCCATCCAAAAGGCACTGTCTGAAATTCCAGTCAAGAACTGAGAGCAGGTAGGTATTTCAAAACAAAATCATAATTTGTCAAAACACAGAGCTAAGAATGCTGCAGCCCACTGAATGTGAGACACATTCAGTACAAAACAGGTCTGTGAACACAAAACCATGCAACAAGACATTACTCCAGGGAAGACTAGAAGAGAGCAGTGCTGCATTCTGACCCTGTTCAGATTTTTCTCTGCTATAGCCAGCTGGTGACAAGCCCTGCCGGTGCCATCTCCTTCCTCTCCCGTGCTGTGTCAGTGCCACTGCCCGTGGCCAGGCTGGGGTCAGGCTCCAGCAGGACAAGCTGGAAGCAGCTCAGCTCACTGACCCATGGCTGTGGGGACTGGCTTTTGCAATGGACAAGCAATGGACAAGTCACCTGTCTAGGTAAAAAAATATGAGAGCAAAAACAGCGAAAAAACCACTGAAGTGGGGCTGCTTTCCTGCTATTTTCTAGTTATTTTTCAGTTTCTGTCTCTAACAATAACATTGAAAATTCTGCTGGAAGGACAGGAAAAAAGAAAAGATAAACCAACATGAAAATTGCAACACTGGAGTAAGACACACAGAAGTTCTTTTCATTGCAAAGAATTACTCAAAACGACATCTATATCAGCACTAAGGAAAACATTGCTTCTGCCTTGAGGTAGCCTTGGAAATAACACTGTTGCAAGCAAAAACCGGTTTATCATTTCTGAGGGATTTTCAATCAATTTAATTTATTTGTCACTTAATAAGCTTCTAATTACTACTTGTGGTGTTGAAACACACAGAAGGGAAACAGCCTTTGCTCTCCAATCCCCTCACCATACCTGTCCCTGGCAGTGGGGCAGCAGGACCAGCAGTCATTCCGGTTTCCAGTCGAAGGTCAGCACTGCTGCTTACTATGCCAGTATAGTAAACAAATAGCTTATACAGACAAGTTGTTCTTAAAACACATCAAAATCACATCAAGTGAAATGTGATCTAAAATAAGCCAGCAGTGTTTCAGAATATCACTACTTCCCCTGGCACTTCAGGATGCTGCAGCTGCAGAAATTCCTCTACAACAATTCAAGACTTAAAGCTTATGTTCCCATAAAAAAGGGTTTCCAGACAAAAATGTATTATAAATATACACAGACTCCATCACAGTAACCAGACCAGAACACTCATACAGGAAAGCCTCTAGCCACACTTTAACATTTTGTTTATTGAACTGTATCAGCCAATATTTTTTTTCTTGCTTCCCAACTATGCCAGCAAAAATGTTAATGTAAAAGCCCTTCTAGTGATTGCAAAATTTTTCTGCCTGCATAAACCATTCCTTTCCCAGGACATGGTATAAGCAGTACTAGCAAAAAAACTCCACTCATACCTGTAGAGGAACCTGAGAAGGAAGTGGTGAGACCAGGTAACAGAAGTGTGCAAGTGGGAAGAGTGAAAGCAAAGGAGAGCATTGCATCAGTCCAGCTAATGTGTACAGAAAAAGGCAGGAAGCAGTAACTGCCCTCACACCACGTTTGTGCCAGCTGAAACTAAACTGCAAAATCACAACACTACTACAAGAAATAACAGCATGAAAACACTGCACACAGGTCAGAGTGACCAACTTGACTGTGATAGACCTGGCATTTTGTTTTCTATTTGGATTTTTGTGTCATGTTTTGTGTGACGTATAATCTTGAGAAACAAACATCGCCTAGAAACTCAAGCATAAGCCATTCCATTTATGTCAAGTGGGTATTAACCCTATTCTCCCTAAGAGTTCAAGAGTCAGTTGTGTTAACTGTTTCACTAAGAAAGATAAGATACTTAGCACAATTTCTTTGTTAAAGCCTATCTCAGAACTCCAAGCCATCTGCAAAAGCCTCTTATGAGCAAAACCATCCACGTATTCCCCATCCAGGAGTAAACAACATCTCCACTTTTCCTAATGAGCATCCTTATAATACAGACGCATCCTGGCTATGTGAAAAACACACAGTACTAAGAATAGAGAAGTGTGGGTTAGAAAACAACAAAACAATAAGACAAATTCAGTACACTTTTAACAACTTGCCTGTCTGTGTTTCCACTCAAATACAAATGTTCTCTGTACTCTCTCTGCCTTTTTTTTAAACCCCAGATCTGCTGCAGGTTATCCAGACTGCCACATCACATCAACACAGAAACCAGTAAGGCCTGGCTGCAGAATTTAGGTCAGCTCGTCTGTGGAGTACATAAGGTCTTCCACACAGCCATGAATTTCCTAGTAATGCTTCAATAATCCCTCTTTATCCTGCTATGCAGCTATTTCACTAGGAACTACTAGCTTTCCTCTAGCTCCCCAACAAAGACTCTCCACAGGAGGGATGTTTGCAGGCAAATGAGCCACTATCTTTTCCTTGGGAAGCAGGAAGCTGGTTGTTGAATCAAATAAATGCTGATTCTTATTTCCCAAGAAAAAAAAAAAAAAAAAAAAAAAAAAAAAAAAAAAAAAAAAAAAAAGTGAAGTATTCACAATGGATACTAGGAAAAAAGAGTCCCTATCTTTTAACCACACCAGGAAAGACAAAATCAGAGCTGGAAATTACCTCTAGAACACTAGGAATAATTTTCTTAACAGATTTTAAACAAATCCTCACTGCTTCCACCTGGGTCAATAAATAAAATAACAAAAATGTGACTAATAAATTCAGACAGTCTAAGCAACAGAGGCTGGCCTTTCTGGAGAGAAAGCACCACTTGAGGTGAAAAAAAAATTATGCCTCTTTAAAGAATGCTCCCGCTAACAGTGAATTGCATGCCACTGCCATCCCAATCGTTGTACAAGATCACATAAGTAATAGCCCTGTTCTTAAAGGATCTCTAATGGCACATAAAAATATGCAAAGTCTTTTCAAAATACGGTCCTCAGAGCAGGAGTTCAATCTAAACTGGAAGGTACAGTTACATAAGGCAAAAACCCCAGACTGAATACAATAAACCAAAACCTTGAACTTCTCTGTCTTCATAAAAGATGAACCTAACTAAATCTTCTCAAGTATGACAATCTGAAAGATGTGAATGCAAGAATAAATACCAGTTTCCTGGAATGGTTACGAACATCTCAGCAAATAAAAACACAGCAAGCAAGCTGACAGCTGGTTTTGTCTTAAAACCCCTCAGTCTGCTACCTCTCTTCTGCTCTACAGTTCCCACATTACACACTGCTCATCAAAAGCTGGCACTGCAGTCTCCCTACTAGACCAAAGAATAAAGCTGAGGAAAAGTCTTTCCTCAAGACAAACTGCTCTTCAACATTCAAACTTTCGTTAAGAGTATTCCTAGCCCATTCTTTAGAACTTCCATGAAGTCTGAAAATGGTATTTGCAAACACGTACTGAGCAGTACTGCACATTACATGTGCAAATCAAATATCCCAGAAAACTTCTTATATTTGTTTATGCTCACCTCAGATCTGTTTCAGACACACAGCCATGCCAGGCTCACAGATGTGGCTGGGCCTCCACTGCATCACACATGTTAACAAGACCTTCTAAAAATGTAACTTTTTATAACTAATGATCATCCATAACTTAACTCTGCATCAGACAACTTTTCCCATTACTGGCTCAGTACCTGATCAGGCTGTGCTTCTCCGCCCTCCTCCTCTGGCTTCAGCTGGGCTGAGTGCTGGCTCCTGAAGGCTCCAGCAGCAGGAATACCAAGCCAGACTCTGATGATCACTTTCTCATTTTGACAAGCGCCACAGACTCCTCCTATATAAAAATAAACTGCTGTGAATCAAACTGGCCAAATGAAGTGGTCATGGTAGCGGGGGTCAGAGGAATGCCACTCTGCAACACAGAAGACAAAGGTTACTCATCCTTTTGCTGACAGTGCTTCATCTCTGGGGAAGACTGAGCACATCCTTTTTATAATAACTTTGGAACTACTCTAAATGAGCCATCCTGTTCTTGAAGAGCATAGATCCCAAATGAGCAATTTGTCATTTCCACATATTTTTTTAAACATACTGGCACATCCTGACTTAACCAAGAGCACTGCTACTTCTCTATCATCACCTCCCTATACCACCACAAAAGCCAGACCAGACCCCAACGATGTGGTAGCTGCACATGCATGTGCTTCACACAAACACTTCAATGACACTTCAACTACTGCATTACAGCCCTATGCCAGGCAAGCAGATCACCTTGAGTCAAATGAGCTGCTTGGAGAAATCCTAGGAAAGCAGCTCTACCCTCTGCAATGAATAAAATAGAGAAGAAGTGGGATTGTCTCCCTCCTTCTTCAGCCCAAAACTTCCACCACCTAAGACTCAGCATGGCTGCCTTCACCTCCAGAGACCCAGAGGCTCCAGGGCTGTGCAGAGCACACAGACAGAAAGCAACAACCAGCAAAAAGAACAGCCAGACTCCAGCAGGTAATTCATGAATATTTATTTTAGTTTGTTGCTTATTAAGTATGCCTTGTTATAAATCAAGTATTTTACAGTAATTGCCTCCAATCAACAAACATGGGGAAAGCTGCTGTGTAAACCAATGTTGCTCCACATCCAAAAGGAGTCCCTTAGCAACAGCCAGGATTCCACAGGACATGTTGTAGAGCAGAGCTGGCTGCCACTGCCTTGCTGCACCCCAAGCAACACTGCTGTGTGCCCAAGGCGTTCCTAGCACTGCCAACCACAGCACTGTGCCAGGGTGGCAACACCAGTGCAGCAGGCACGCACTGTGAGGGCAGCAAGCCCTGGGCACACAGTACAGGTACAGGGACAGCCCTCCAGAGCAGAGGATGCTCCACAGCCAGGGACAACCAGCTGCATCCCTGCATCCCCTGCTTCAGCCCCCAGCCCACTGCCTCCACCCCAGCAGTGCCTCCAGCAGAGCTGCTCTGCCATAGGGGTCTGCACCCAGCACCAAGAGCAGGGCACTCACCCACCTGAGCTGCTCCCAAACCACTGCAGAAAAAAATGCAAACCAAGCCTCCCCCCCAGATCTCCCTCTAATTTTTTTCCGAGGCTTTTTCAGGGGTGGCACCCACTGGAATTCAGAAGCACACAGGAACAAGCCCTGTGTCAGGCTTTCCACTGAGATCATTTTAAAGGTCAGCAGGAACCTGCTGTTCCGGGTTTTTTCTTAGCAGTAGAGACCCAGGATAAGGAGATGGTGAAAACATTGTCAAATCCTCAAATAAAATATGCCTCAGACTTTTCTTCTTGAAAGGGCTTGGGAGTGGTCAAGTGATCTCAGGAGGAGCAAATCTTTTTATGCAGAACTGGAGTTTTCAGAGACTCTAGGTTTTTAAATACATGGAAGAAAAAACTGTGACCAGATACTTTCCAAAGGTCTAAAGCAAGTAGACTTCAGAACAGACCTTTGGATCATACTTGAAGTCTAGGAGAAAATGCTCACAGCCACGGGGCCATTCACCTTGGCTGCTTCTGTAACCCTTTTTTTTCACCAGGTCAGAGAGCCATGTAAGAAGGGCCTACACAGAATTCACCATGCCCTCCAATCCCTCCTCAACACTGCCCCAAAGCCATTCCCAAAAACAGCAGGCAAAGGCAGCTCCCACATTCAAAGTAGGAGGACTGTGTTTTTTGAGAATGTATCAGCATTTAAGGAAAGGGGCCAGGAGAGGCTGAACAGCACCACCACCACACTTGGTAAGGCATGGAAGAACAGGAGAGCTTCTCTTCAAGAGCTGAATCACAATCTGAAAGACTGCTGAGGTCCATCACTGCCACCCTCCCCTTCCCAGAACAGGCTGAGCACATGGATTGGATCATACCTGGAGGAAATGTAAAGAATAACAAACAACAAAACACTTACAAAATTTTGGTTTAAAACAAACAAAAGAAAACAAAAACCAATCTAAAAGCAGAAATTCTTACATAAATCATAGCAGTGCATAAGTAGATGTTTGGGCAATGCCAAGTCTACTGAAGAATTCTTCCCTGCAGTTCTTACCACAAAAATTCTCATGGATTTTGTTCCAAATCCCATTTGACAAGTTCTCACTTTATGCTACTTCCTTCACCTCCCTCTCCCACTTTTGAAGTGACAACCTCAATTTATTAAAACAAAGCAACATCTTTCTTACAGAAACATCTGCTTTGATACAAGAATACATACCCACTGGTATAGTGAGTATGTGGGACTGTGGCTATGAAGGAGATTGAATAAGAAGCACATGCACCACTCCTCTTTTAACCTCATCCCCTCTGGCACTCATGCACTTCAATACTTTCCTTTCAGGGCCCTACAGCATAGGGAAAGACACCACATTTACATTGGGGTGTTGGCATCAGCCAGTGCCAATTTCATCTGAATCGCAGCCAGGCACTTGGCACTTCAGGCACAACACGTGCAACCTCCAAATGCCACGTCCTACATACAGTAGCCTACATGTGGCTGCCTCCATTTGTACAGTCGTTTGATCAAACATCTTTTCTATTAAGGAAAACAATACTTTTGATGCTTTTAACAGGGAAATAATAATTGTTAAAAGAGTGAAAAGAACCCAAACAATGCACTCAGAACAAATCATTACGAATTCTGTAGATAAAAGAAAGGGAGGGAAGTCATAGTATTTTGGGGAAGTAGAGATTTTGGGGGGAAAAAACCCAACAACCTCAGCTAATTAAATAAGTAAGCAGTTCCAGCCATTAGAGGCTCAGTTTCAGCACAACTGAATAATTCTCAGTTCTACATATATCTCCACACACCCAGACAACAGCAGACATTTGACAATCTTTTCAGTTAAAATGCCATCTTCCTCCCTTGCTGCTGCATAAGAAAAACAACAAAACAGCACACAGGAGAAGTGTCATGCCATCAGGAGAGAAAAAAACCCCAGCACAGATACGTACTGCAGAAATACTGTCAAAAGTAGCATGTAACCTAACCAGAGGAATACTAGATTTTGTTGCTATCTCTCAGTAAGTTTTGCAATTAGCTGAAGCTGATTTGTGGCCACCCTGCTACTTAACATTCCTGCTCTCTCTATGGTGTGTGCCTGGGAAAGGCATCTTGCCCAAAGCAGAGAGTGGGCTGGAAGGCAGGACTTCCCCTTTCAACAGCAGTGCAAGCTCAAATTTGCTCCAGCTGGTCTTGAAACCACACTCCCCTTGGAAAGCACCTTAGGCATTGCTCCTGCTCCATGGGATCCAACAAGATCCTACTGCCCCTCCCTGCGGAGCTCATTGTCCATTCTAGGCTCTTGCTGTAGTTTTTCACATGACACCCAACACCCAGTTTAATTTGGGAGCTCCCTGTAATTCCACCCTTCTCTTGGTGGCCACCTCCTCTTCCCCCATCCATGAGCCAGAGGCCGAGTGCAAATTCCTCCCCTTCCTCTCTTCTGCTGCAGACAGCAGGAATATAGCAAAGACAAACTAACCAAACCTTGCTGGTCAAGCAGGCAAAACTTCTCCCTGCTACAGCTAACTCATTGTTTGACCCACAGGCAGTATGAGAGGGGGCTACTGCTGGTAGCTCTGGTATTACACTCTTTAGCAGATGACAACACAGATCTAAGATTTTACAAGTTCAAAACAGCAAATAGGTAAATAATCAGACACCGAAGAAGTCTTAATATGGATGAGGTGACAGAAATCGGCAGCCGTGAGAGTGTAGGGCCACCATCCTCTCTTCATGCAGAAAAGAAACAGCAGAGAAGGGGCTCTCTGCTCCTCACACTGACCAGCTGCTCACTGGCTGTTTCCAGGCTGCTCTGGGCCCCTGTGCACATGGACAGACTACAGTCTTAAAATACTAATGAGGCATGTGCAAACCATTAGCCAAAACCAGGCTTGTACTTATTCAACCCATAAGCTTCAGGTACCCATTATATTTCATGCAATGATATTCTTCAAATACTTTGCTTTCAAGCTGACTCCAAACAGAGAAAACTTGGTCATCCCACTGTGAGCACGAAAGACTTGTTTCTGGAATGAGGCACCCTCAAACAAACAGAATTCATAATTTTTCCACTTGTAGAAAAGTAAATATAACCTCATGCTTTATAATTTTATGTTATATTTACTCACACGTCACAGTTTTGTTATATCCTTTCCTATGCCTCACTATTACTATTTTCTTTCGTAATTTTGCATGTTTCTCATGTTTTTATTTTCAGGCTTTACCATCTTTGTTTTCTTGTAACTCTGGCCTCAGTGGCTTTTTTCTTTAAAATCTGTTTGGGTTAAACTGATCAATGCTAATAAAGACACTCTTAAATTCACCTTTCAATCTAAGCACATCCTAAATTAACTTTCACTAAGAATAAACATAGCATAAATACAAGTTTCAAACACTGGAAAAAAAATCTTGTCCAAACCTGCGCATTTTTCACTTTTCTGAATGATTATTAGCACAATTTTGTTTCTCTCTCAGTCCACTCTTTTTTCTCAGAACACTTTTCTTCTATTACTCTTCTGTTAGACCCTTTCCTACCCACTTTTCATTGGGACACCAGCAGTGGTTAAACTCACAATTTCTGCAGCACCAACAAGCCTTTACGTATCTGCATTCCTCCACTTCCTTGTTTCCAGAGCCAATAGATTTGTTGCAAGAAGGAGAGAAAAGGAGAGGAGGAAAACTATCAAGCCAGTTTTCCCTTTCTCTCTACTATTAAGGCCAACAAGGCAAAACTGTGAAGAAATTTACTACGAGTTATAAACCAGCAAACGCTACTTTAAAAAATTCAAGCGCATGAAAAGTTTCATTTCCCTTTTGTCAGTTCCTCAGCTAGG